TAAAGTCATTTGTAGGAAAATAGATGCATATTGAGGGCATATTTTTAAGTGAAATAAATAAGACACACATGTAAATACTGAATAATTTCTCTGGTATGAAAAACTAAAAGTATAAATAAGATCCAAATTGTATAACTGACAATGTGAAATGGGAAGAAAAGGGCTAAGGGTGTGGGGGAAGTGAGAAGGGTAGGGGGAAAGGAAATAAGGGACAAGAAAAATTATGAGAAAAGGAAAAATGGAAACAAAGTCTTTGTAAATAGGGGAGGGGGAAGGGGGTGAATGGAGGAAAGGGGTATGGGGAAAAATGAGTACCAAGATCTGTCACGTAAAGGTACAAGATCCCAATGATAAACGTAACTGTACTGTACACTTTAAAAGTACCAATAAACTCAATGAGGAAAAAAGTTATCCTTTCAACATGCACATTTCAGTTTTTAGTATTTCTGAAAATTGTACAGCCATCACCACTAAGATTTCTGAGTGCCTCTGGAGCTCTTATACATGTGGGGTTTCTGGGAGGGCTGAGGCATAATATAGCTATGTAAGACTGCTTTAAAGACCTTCCAATTTCATCAAGAAGGCATGGTTTATAAACTTATCTTCTCACTATTATGATAAAAGATGATGCCATGCAAGAATTCACATAAACACATGATAAGAGCTAAGAGAGGAGGCAAGGAATTAGTAGCCAGGGTTATTGACTATGAGGGAGTCCTCACGCAAGAGGCAAGTCTAAGGCAGGCCTTGAAGATGAGGGAAAATTGTAGAAGAGTTATGAGCAGGGAAGACCATGCAAGGAACTGTCAGGATAAATGGCCCAAGTGTTAAACTCTTGTCAAGCACAGCTATTTTCCCTGCTGAGAGACTGCTGGGACATCAACTGGAAATAGAAAAGAGATTAGATGGAGCCCAGTGATTTCAACGAGTGATCACCTGGTCTATTTGAAAGTAATTTATATAATAATGACCAGCAGCAAGTTTCAGAAACTCAGGTATGATCCTCATTGGCTTCAGTAAGATGTGTGCTTTACAGAGTGAAGACAACATTTAGTCCTCGGTTGGAAATTCCTGCTTTAAAAAGCCATTTTGTTCCATTTTGAAATAAAGTGAGAGTGAAAGCTATGCCCCATGATGCTTCATGGCTAATAAAACTGCAAAGGCATTTCTGCCTGGGCGTAAAAGATTATTTTAAGCATCGTCTCCTGGGCTCCTCGGTTACTAAGGGAATCCTGTCTCAGCTCAGCAGTGCAGATGGGCAAGTTGCCATGACAATCCTCCTAGGCCTGGTTGGACTCTGAATACCACAGATGGAGGAACCACTGTCACCACATGACCCCTGAGCAGCCTGACAGTCTTGCCCTGCTCTTTTCAGTTTGCCCACTCCCCCTCCCCAACTCAGCTGCCCGGACCTTGCCATTGTCATGCAGGGGCACAATTAGAGGGGATTTTAAGGTCAACGGGTCACCCTGTTTGATAGTAATTTCCTTCCTTCCCCAGACTATGTTGTGCATGCAGAGTCACAGTCAAGTCCTCATATCCTTCGGTCACACACAATCCTTCAAGCCTAGGCTTTGTCTCTATAAATGAAGATACTAAGTATTTATTCTGACACTGTTCTGGAGAGCAAAATAAAATATGGACTAAATCTTACTTTCTCTCCTGTAAACCAGCCAGACATGTGCCGAGACTTTGTCATGGGATAAATTTCTCCTAATAGTAATTGTGAATCCCAGCAACTTCTGGATATACACATGTTCATGATTCTAAACATGGCAGCAACAATGTCTTCCATCCCATATGGTTTCTTTAGCATATGCCTTTGCTATGTTCACACAGGGGTTCCTTCCCCTTGAATCCGGACCAGTTTATGACCACAGTACAGTGATACCTTGTGACTTCCAAATCATTGAAGGTAATGCAGTCTACACACGTTTTCTTGGGATGCTTGCTCTTGAAAGCCAACCACCACAATGCGAGGGAGCCACATGCACAGACCACATACAGGTGTTCCAGCTGACAGCCCAGCTGAAGTCTCAGTTGAAGGTCAGCATCAACCACCAGACATAGAGTAAATAAGCCTATAGATGTTTGGGTCCCCCAGCCTACATCACCATCCATCTTTGAGATATCATGCAGAATCAAGCTGTGCTTAATCCCATAGAAAATCCATACAAATTTTTGGCATAGTGGTTTTATGCCAAAAAGTTTGGGATGATGTATTATTAGCAATATTTGCTTGAACTGTGTTTATTTTGTGGTGGCCTTTCTCTATTCCTGGGCAATCTTCTTCCAATTCATTCCCCCAATGAATAATTCCAATGTTACCTCCTCTATGAGTATTCTATCTAGGTACTTTGTACATACCCTGTACTTTGGCACTTGCTATGTTGTCTTTTTACCTCTTTTAAATTCCCTGCTACACTGTGAATTCAAGTACTGAGACGGATTGCTTGATTGAATGGCTGGTTGGTTGGTTGGTTATTGTTGTTGTTTGTCTTGATAATATAAGCAAAACAACAGAGTGACTAGAGATTTGAGAGCCATCTAGACCTAGTTTTGAATTCTGGCTGGGCTACTTTATTAGGTAATGGAAAAGTTACTCTTTGAGTTATGTGCAATCACATATGTGAAATTGTGAAAATATCTATCATTTTTGTTAGGAAAAACTGATAATGTCTTTTTGTAGCCAAGTTACTGACATAAAATGCCCAACAAATAACATATTATCATTGTTATTTTACTATTCTCTACATTTATTACAGTGTGATTCAAATTCACTTGACTATTCAACCAATATTTAAGTACCTACTACTAAAAACTGTATATTAAGTAATTGATATTCATAAATATTTTTGTATATGAAGTACAAAATGATGTAATTGAGAATGCATTTGGATACATTATTGTTACCAATAATTTTTTCTTAGAACTCAAAAACAAACAGGAATAGAATATTCTCATCTTGATGTTACACCCCTTGGTATTATATGTGATATGACATCAAGAGAAGTAACATCAAGATGTCACAATAACCAACATCTATTCATTCTATGAGTTACCAGCATTTTAAAGTTGGATTTGATGGTCTATAGTAGTTTTTTATTGCTTCCAAAGAAAATGACCAAAAATAAAGTGGTTCAAACAACACAAACTTACTGTCATAGTACTGTAGAGGTCAGAAGGTTGGCCTGAATCTCACTGAGCTACTACTGTGAAAGGTAAGGTTTCACTCCTTTCTGGAGGATGTGAAGAAGAATCTATTTTCCTTGCTTTTATTCACCACTGCATTTCTTGACTTGTAGGCTTTGTCTCTGCCTTGGCCTTTTTCCATTTTCTTATGTCCCTCCCACCACAGACAGAGAATTTTTAGTTTTTAGCGATTCATGTGATTTTTAAAGGTTATTCACATTTATCACATCTGCAAAGCCTCTTTGTTATATAAGAAAGCATATTTACAGTTTCCAGGAAGTAGAATTTAAAGATCTAGAATAATGAGCCTACACATCTTCTACAAGTTCTTTCACTTAAAATACAGGAAGGGGCTTCAGATAGACAAATCCTACCATTTCACAGAGGAAGAGGCAGAAGGGTGTGCTGATTCATTCAGGATCACAATGCTAATTTGCAGTTGTAATTGAATCTCTGGTTTCCTAACTCCGAGTTTACAACTCTTTTTAGAATGCTGCTACTAATTTATACAGCATCTTGAGTGTGTTAGAAATATAGGTCCTAATTCAGACCTAAAGAATCATGGCTTTATACTTTTACATAATTCCTAGGTAAGACTTATGCACATTTAGGTTTGAGACGTACTGGCCTAGGACATAACAGCCTCTATACAGGAATTGAATGGGTGATAGTCTCAAGCAGTTTAGCCTTGTCATTTTCTCTTGAGACCAAATGATTCTAATCTGGGTTGCTCAGATCTCTACAGATACACACTTTGCTGTCCTAAATGCTTGCTGGTGTAGGGCAACCTCTACATGCTGAGCTGGATGCTCCACTCTTGTGCCAAGAAGCTACCTTTTCTAAAAGGGGGTGGGGGCAGAGCCGTTAATAACCTTGTGGATGCTGAAAGTCTGGGTTCAACTCCTGATTCCACCACTTACCTAACAAATTTAAGATGCATGACTTTGGATTAACTGCTCATCTTCTTTATGCTTCAATTTTTACATCTTTAAAATGAGAATGAGAGCAATAGCACCCACTTTGTAGGCAGCAAGACCACTTTAAATGTTATTTATCATTCATTTGGAACCCCTTAGGCCTCCTCCAAGTGAGATCAAAAATCTCAAATGAACTCAATATCTCAGAATTTCTCCAGATTCTGATAAGCTGAGAGAGGACATCCAAACTTTGGTTCCCGATAGCCAGAATATCACTAGTCTAGAGCCACTGTGAAACAGTCAAAACTGTGCTGGCATCAGGAAAATGATCAGACCAAGAAGGGGTGCTAGATGGAAAGCATTTGGTCCCTGGCATGTAATGCTTCATTTTCTGTTGCTAAAATCTTTCTTTAGTAATTAAAGAATCTTAAAGTGTACATTGGTATAATTACATGGTTTCAGAACCATGTTGGATAGAATAGCACCAGAATGATGAGAAACTTTAAGCCCACAAGGCCACACTGCTTTTCCTTCTTGCCGCCCTCCCCTCCTGCATTCCCTCCTGTCTTCCTTCCTTCCTCTTTTCCTTTCTCCTTTTCTTTCTTCCTAGAAGCCAAATGTATTTCCATTTTGGTTATATCTTAGAAACCTAAAGTTTGTAGCCTGACCTAGGAACTTACAAGTAATAATTGTACTTTTAAAATCATTATATTAAAATTTCAAATTGTGATTGATCTTGCTGAAGGACATTAAAAGACATTCATTTTTTTTTTTTACTGAATGAGCACTTATGGATTTTATATTCTTTCTATTCTATTCATCAGTGAAATCTCAAAGTATGAAGTTCCTTAAATTATACTTTGCCTATTCCACCATCAGATGTGGACTCACCTTCAGAACGTCTTCACCAATTTTCAAATATGCTGAATTCCCACAACTCTGGAAAAATGGGAAAAGGCCAAAGATAATTTAATAAAAAATCTAAACTCATTTTAAACATATTTAGTTTCAGGTATAAAGTATACTATGAAATAAGAGACAGGATAAATGTAATATTACCCAATAGTGAACATGTTACTATTATGTAATAAGCTAACCACATAGGGCACATCACAACCATCGTAAGAATTAACAGTAGAGATAAATGGTAGGAATATATTAAAATTATTTTCAGTACTGGAAGGGCTGGGGATTTAGCTCAGTACCAGAAAAGGAAAAAAAAAGAGAGAAAATTATTTTCAATAAACCCTTGGTTTGAAACCTACTCCTTCTATGATGACTCTCTTTGTTGGATATGAGTTTAGTAATTCCAAGATGAGAGTATTCTTATACTTTGTTTAATGTATAGGAGGCTTATTATATTGGCTTCTGGTCTGAATTAGTAAGAATTCTGGAATCATAGAACTAAAAAGGAGATTATATTTGTTCCAATAAGAAACTGATGTCCTAGAGAAGCCAAGTGGTTCCAGGGTCAATGACAGTTTCTGAACATCAGGAATGGTGGGAAACTCAAGATCATACCTGAGTGTCCCAGGGAAGCCTAAACTGCGAACCTCAGGACCTGGGCCTCTTGACTTTCAGTTAGCAGTATACTGCAGTGACTAAATCAAATATAACAATACTTCCTAGCCCCAGGTGGCAACCAGGAGGCCTGTGCTTCATGTCAACAGACAAATCATATTTTGTTTTGATTCAGTTCAGCAGTGCTGCCTGCTGTAGATTTCACTGACAGTCTCCAATTGGGATCAGGAAGTTTTGGCACCAGAGGCAAAAGTTACACTGAATGCCTGTCTCATCAGTCCTCTTGAACCATATTATGTGATGTATTTGCTTGCCACTTTTCCTCTCTACTCTTAGACCAGTTCCAAATCAAAGGTAATAACATATTTATTGTAAAGAAAAAAATAAACAAAATTTCTAAAATCACAAGCACCATTGCTACACTGCCTAAAATGTAATCTTGGCTCTACCACTTACTAATTGATGACATTATTTAAGTTATGTGATGTCTCTGTGCCTACTTTATCTACTATAAAATGGAAGTTTTATAAAAATTAAGTGATAAAATATTCTGAGGTGAAAACAAATCCAGTTACCAATTAGAGGGCAGTATTTAATACCAGACTATCAACAAATAATTTTAATAGGCAATAGTGTAGACCAATTCAATGCTACAAATGACTAACAATTCTTTCTTCAGAGTAATCATTGCTTTCTTTTGTACATCATCCACAAGTTCACTTCGGTCTTTCGTTCTCCAGAAAAGATTAAGATACCTAATTGCTGAACTGTCTTTGTTTCTTGATAGCATCCATTCCAAACCAAATCTTTGTTTCTCTGATTGTACTTTAAAAATCATCTCCCAATTCCAAGTTTTATAACAAGTTTGTCCCAACTCACTAGTGTAGAGACATTCCCAAGTATATGCTCTTTCTTACTGCATCAAAATAAACTTTGTCTGATTTGGGGTGTTACAGTAGTCTTTGGCTGATGGGCTATCACAATGTTCAGCATTTAGAGCCACAAGAAATGGTAGCTATTGGCAGTAGTAGAGACGTTTTTCTATTCTCAGGTTCTTGTATGTAGCACACTTTAAGATACATTTGTTCAGGGATGGGGATTTAGCTCAATTGTTCTACCACCTACTTTGCAAGCACAAGGTCCCAAGTTCAATCCCTGGTAGCCAAAAGGAAACAAATACATTTGTTCAATTAAAGGAGTTTCTTAAGTAACTGTGAGGTCAGACAGCACAGGTAGGATGAAGAGACATATTTTCTACAAGTCCCAAAGTGTTACTGAGAAATGCCCAAGTAACTGCAACAACAATGAATAGAACTGAAAGCCAAGCAAAGAGCAAACATTTTGAGCCTACTGAAGTACAAACGGTGCCCAGAAATTGACCCTTGCCTGGATCTTGTAAGCCAGGTTATCCATATCTATGATAAAAGAAGGATGGAAAAGCTAAACTTTTATTTCTGAGTTCTTACAGTAATCTGACCTATAAGGAAATGAAATTTTGGGCTGGGGATTTAGCTCAGTGGTGCCACTGCCTGCCTAGCAAGGACCCAAGTTCAAGCCCTGGTACAAAAAAAATAAATAAATAAATAAAAGCAAATGGAATTTTGAAGCAGTCAAAGAATGTCCAAGGCATACAAATGGTAATTAGGCCAGATGTGGGACACAAGACACACAGGTTTGTCTACACAAAAGATATCTTAGCTCTTGTTACATCAAAAAACTTTATGGTAACAATAACAATCATTTATTTTCTCTAGCAATTGTGCCTGGTCAAGAATCCATGAGCCTCTTGGTTTAGGCTCAAGGTCTTTTAAGAGTTGCAGTTATCTGAAGGGTCTCTTGGCACTGCAATCCAGTTCTTGTGGTTCACTCATGGCTGGCAATTTGCTTTCTCTTTACATTGCCTCACTTTTGATCTTTATGAGTGTCAGCAGGACAAGACCTCCAGATTTCTCCACGGGGAGAAATCCAGGAGACTTAGCTACAAGTAGCAACATTTTATGATTCGGCCCTGGAAGATATATGTCATTACTTCGACATATTCTATGGTTAAAATTTGCCAGCCCTGTTTCAATGTCAGCTCTGCTCATCTGCCAGATGTGCTACTTTTGATCAGCGCCTAAATTCTCAGTCTATGTTCCCTCCTGTTATGGTTTGGGTCTGGATGCCCCTCCAAAGCCTCATTCGGTCAGACGTAGCTGAATATAGAATGCTGGAATTAAGGGGTGTGATTACTAAACCACTACACTTGAGAGAGTGGTTTAGCACCACCCTAATTCCGGTAGTCTAGATGGGATAAAAGAGGCAGAAAAATGCGGTGAAGCTCTCCTTTGCTGCTTTGCTACCTTGTGCACGCCACATTGTTTAGCCTCTGTGATGCCAGTTTTTTATCCCTGCCTTAGAGCCAACCAATTATGGACTGAAACCTCTATGTATTATAAACTAAATAAACCTCTTCCCCTCTAACTTTGGGTGTGAGGTATTTTGTCTCAGCGATGAGAGAAAAGAAGCTTACACACCTCCTTTGTAATACGAAAGTAACAACTTCTTTTCTGAATTGTTTTGAGTATTAACCAATATGATTATAACAACGCTGTTTAGCAAAATGAGGTGCTCCACAGAGAGCGCTATCAGAAATTAGTCCTCTTTCCTTAGCTTGCCCGGGAAGCTTTACCTTGTTCGTCTCATTCTTCTAAACTCTGAACATTCTTCTTTCTCTCACCTCTGAAAAGATGAGTAATTCCTGCCAAATTAAGGCCCCAAACACACTCAAAGTAGCACTATTCTGCAGGCGGAACTCGATTTCCACGGGTTGATCTTAGTAGCCGGAACTTATTGGGAAATGGACAGGAAGTGGATCGGGAGGCTCTATTTCCGGAGCGGATGAAATTGGCGGACGTGGGATGGCTTCTCAAAGGTTGAAGTAAACGCGTGGTGCTTGAGAGGGGACACTGAAAGCACTGAGGCGGGCACCCAAAGGTGTCGCGACCACAACCCTGCCGGCGACTCCATGCCGGGTTGGAGGCTTCTGGCTCAGGCGGGCGCCCAGTTACTGGGCTGCGGCGCCGGCTGCGGTGCTGTCCCGGGCTTGGGGAGTAGGTGGGTATGAGTAGGACAAGGAAGTAGGGCTGTGCACCCTGCACCACTGCGGCTTTGAGGAGTGTCCTGCCATGGCTGGAGGAGGAAGGGACTCTCTGCAGTCGTGGAGCACAGAAAGATAAGAATTGTCAGGAAAGCAGTTTTGACAGGATTGGAGGGGTATTTTTTTTTTTTAATGCTTAGAGGCCAGCATTTAGCTAAGGACATTAACAAGAATGTTATTTCCAATGAGTGAACATGTGGTACATGGTCCGTTAAGCGTATTAAGCGCTTTGTATTATGTAGCGTCATGTGATCACAGTGTTGTATGGCTAGTGGTTAAAGCTAATTCTTGTTCAAAGTCACTCAGCTGCTTAGTGGAAAATTGGGACCAACCTAGATCTACCCGACTACAGAAGATAGGCGGAGGGAAGGCTGCAGAAACAATTTCTGTCCTGACACCCCCACCACCACCCAGTACAAATATTACACATCTTCCCCACCTTCACTCACTAGGTTCTTTCTTGGTGTGTTCAGCTGATCAGAGGTCATGTCTTTTGTGGATCTTCTAACTTTGCACATGCAGTTTCTTTACTTGAACCTAAGATGCCACATTTGGCTACCTCCACTGGATATAAAACTCTTTTAAGACACACATTCAGGTAGGTTAGTGGCCTGTCATGTATCTAGGTAGGGCTATTGTACTTTGTTAGAATCTGTTTATCCCAGGAGAGAAAATACTTCTTCCAGGGTAACTATTCATAGTTAAAATGTGAATCTCATTTTTATGAGTAGTATTAGGGAAAGAACTTAAGCATAAACCAAACCCTGTCCTAAGGCCTCGACTACAGGGGCAATGTGTGTGACTGCCATTCCTTATATTAAATGGGGAAATTGTGACTTGGTTTTTCATTTTTACAGAACAAACATCTGGCTTTTTGTTAGAAGTCTCCATGGTAAGAGTCCAACTTGGTGGGATGAGCATCTTTCTGAAGAAAATGCCTCATTTGTTAAGCAGTTGGTCTCTGATGAAGATAAAGCCCAGTTAGCAAGTAAACTGTGTCCTCTGAAAGATGAACCATGGCCTATACATCCTTGGGAACCAGGTAATTGTTTTTTGTTTTATTTATGTATTTATTTTGATGAAAGCTTCTCTCTTACTTTGTGACAGTCAAAATCATAGTGATTTTCGTAAAATTTTCATCTCTTGAATTAATTTTAATGTCTTCAGTGTGTCTGTCTCATTGTAATTTGGCTTGTAAGTGTATTTCCAGACTCCTAATTCACTGTTGGTGAAAGACCTCCTTGAAGCTGTTTTGTAGGAGAAAGGAAAATCATTTTGCATACCTTCCCTTCTTTCCTTGAGAAAAAAGGGATGCAAAATAAATTAGGAAAGAAAGGCTGGAAGAGTATGATGTTAATTGTAATGTGTTGGGCAGAACTTTTTATTTGGGATGCTGTAGCACTCAAGGTTTGCTAAGCATAACCCCAGAATCAACTCTGTCTGGTGTGATACTAAACCTGGATGTGACCAGACCAGTAAGAATAAGGCCTTTCCTTCTCAGTGTGTGGTTTCTGCTTGGACTATATTGTGACAGTTAATTGTATAGTGGCTAAAATTTCTTAGTGAAGCAAACCTTGCCAATTTATTGAACACATCTTACTTTTTTTTTTTTTTGGTTTTTCAGACAGGGTCTCGCTATGTAGTTCAGGCTGGCCTTCAACTCTTTGTAACCTAGGCTGGCCTCGAACTCATGGCAGTCCTCCTGCCTCAGCCTCCTGAGTGTGAGATTACAGGTATATGCCACCATGCCTGAGTTTTGCAACACATCAGAGTGTCATGATGGAGACTGACATATTTTAGCAATATGACTATTTGTGACATCTCCATCATCCAGCTAGAATTGGAATGATGTTTTCTAATTAGTAATGTTGGACATGAGCTGATACAAGGAAACTATGATGATGGATTTATATGCCCTGTAGTAATACCTTTATTTAAAAACTGGAATATAAAAACCCATCTATTTTCTTTATTTTGTGTAGTTCTCTTACATTTTACAGATAATTCTTGAGCACCAGTATATTATGCCAGGCATTCTTGAAGGCACTTAAATATGTGAGGAGGAGCCTTGTTTCACCCTGAATATTTTAGCAATTCTCTTATGTACTTGGTCCTTGTATTGAAGCTTAACTTTAGGAAAGAGTGTTTCATCATGTTGGTAAATATTGAAAAAGCTTAGCCTGACATGATTTTAATTGGCAGGTTCTTCCCGAGTTGGCCTTATTGCCCTGAAGCTGGGCATGATGCCTTTATGGACCAAGGATGGTAAAAAGCATGTGGTCACATTACTTCAGGTAAGAAAAAAACAGAACATGGGGATATGTATGCATACCCAGATCTTTTTGTGCAGACTTTACTGGGTGATACTCATATCATGAAACACGTATCTGTATGGGGAAAAGAGGCTAATGTCAAATACAGACGATATTAAAAAAACTTTGTTTCTGATGGTTTCAGTAATGTTCTGAGTTTTGTCTGAGTTATAACTTTCTGATATTGATATTAGAATAACTGGGACAATGCATTAAAAAAAACAGTATAACCTTCTCACCAATCTATGAGTTTTATTAATGGGAAAAAAATCGCAGTCTCATCTTACTTCCATTTATAAAGTTCTTTCAACTCCAAAATATAATTTTTGATCTTTTTGCTGACTATAAGAATATCCCCCTGTCTGGAGAAGCTGTATCTTGTTCTCTGACATGAGGTATACACAAACAGTTAAGAATGTGTGCTGTGGGGCTGGAATATCCCACTTTAAATCCGGATTCTTACACTTACTAGTTATATTCCTTGGGGCATTGTGCCTTATCCATAAAAGCTGTACTTCTGTTCTCTAAAGGAAATAAGTATGACCTACTTCAGAAGTTATTGTGAGGACTGCACAAGATAATAAATGTCACACACTTGACACACAATGTTAAAGTCCAGAAAATGTTAGCTATTGTTGTCTTTATTACTATAGAAAGAGCTTTGGTACAGTTAGGAGATCATCACTCCCTCAGACCCTTTGAACAACTCAGTTATTCTTTGGGCCCTACTCTTAAAAAGGTGATCAGACAGATGGTTGTGATTAAAATAAGAGCTCATGCACATGTTTAGAGTGCTGGCAAAGCACAGAGAGCCTACGTGTTCTTCATAAACATTCACGGGCTTTGAGTGATAAGGCAGAAGATAATAGTTTCAAGCACTGTGAGGAATGTTGGGAGCTTTCAGGAAAGGCCTGTAGGATTGTAGCTTGGTATAGGTATTTCAGCAATTGGTTTAACATTCAGTAAAGTTATATAGATGAACCTTACAGTCCTTCTCCTGAGTATTATTATAAAATTGAACGTGTGTGTATTGGGATTCCTTTACAATATTGTTTAGAGCATCATCACTCTTAATATTCCAGAACTGGAATGATGCCATATGTCCATCAGCAGTAGAATGGGTAAATAAATTGTGATGTAGTCGTGTGAAGAAATGCTATATACCAATGAAAATGGACTGAATAGAGCAATACAGAACAATATAGATGGCCTTATAAATACAAAGCTGAGTGAAAGAAGGCATAGAAGAGTACATAAAGTCTAAAGCAGGCAACACTATATTAAGCAAAACTTTCAAAGGCAGTAATTCTAGAGAAAAGTTAAGTGCTTGCCATAAATGTTAAGAGTTATTTCCAGGACAGTATTTCTTAAATTTCACCAAGCTTTAGAATCACTTATAAAGTGCAGAGATTCTGATCTAGTAGGTCTGGATTGGTGCTTCAAAGGCTGCATGGTTACCAGGTTCTCAGGTGATGCTGGACCACTGCTGGAGAACTGCCACTCTGGAAATAAAAGGCAAGGAGATGATTGGGAATGGAAACATGAGCTTTGGGGGTCCTACATTTTGACCTGTGTAGTGATCACATAGCATCTCTATAAGTACTCATTTTGTTGTGTATTTATATTTTCTTTGTACTGGACTGTATTTTACAGTTTTTTTAAATTCATTTGTATATTTTAAGATTGTAGTTGGAGCCAAGCATAGTGGTACATGCCTGTAATCCCAGCACTTGGGAGGCTGAGGCAGGAGGATTCACTTTGAGTTTGAGACCAGCCTGGGCTACATAGTTAGTTCCAGATCAGTCTCAACTACGTAGTGAGACCCTGTCTCAAAAAAAAAAAAAAAAAAGTTTGTAATTGGGATAAATTAAATAACCTTGCGAAACTCCTAATTAATTATTCTAGGGCCTCTGTTTGTCCTGTGTTGTAGAATTAAAATGTATCTTGGGATATATTTAGTTTTTTTTGCTTGCTTTTTAGGTACGCGATTGTCATGTCTTAAAATACACTTCAAAGGAAAACCATAATGGAAAAATGGCAGCCCTAACTGTAGGAGGGAAAACTGTGTCACGTTTCCGTGTAAGGAAATATTTTCATTCTTAGAATGGTGCATTTCTTTAGTTTCATATCTGAATGCTTTCATGCTTTATGCCTTCATTTACTGTGGAATTACTTGAAACCTGAGTTTGTTAATCAATTAACGGTCAAGAATTAGCAGAACAGATTACCACAAAGCTTTAATGAAAAGTAAATGAACTGTGCTACTACAACATGTAAAAATAGCTAACTTGCTTTAATTTGTCTCTGAGGTAAAACTATTTGGCAGGAGGAACAGAACTTTACTCTTTAAGCTATAGTGCTTATACATCTGTAAAATAAAAAAATACTACTTAACATATATTTTTCACAGGGATTAACACATTCCAGATGGCTTGAACCATCAGTGTGGTACATGCAGGACTGTCCCATCAGGTGGCTTGTGCCACTGGTAGTACATGCGGATCTAATCACTTTTATTGGCCTTTTACTAATAAAATTAATAAAAAGCTGCCGATGGAACAGTCCTGCATCTACCACTGGTGGTCAAGCCATCTGGGAGTGAGACACAAATTATGGCCCTGTTGTGAACATATTAAATGAAGATCACACAGTAGGTGTGATAATTGTTTTATTCCACTTTCTATGAAAAATTATCTCAGTATTTAATACCAAAAGGATTAATTTTGTATATTTTTTAGCAGGAGATTTCTGTACTAGGGAGAAAGCTGTATATGAACACACATCAAATTTTTCTACATAAAGCATTTTTTCTGAGCATACCATACCAACAAAATATTGAATTTATGGTTTAAATTACAAAAAACTAGTTACTATCCTCTAGTGTGTGACTAAAATTAGAAACCTTTATAGATATCATGGTGGTTTTCACTAATGGATAACAAAGCATCTTTAGATTTACTTAATTCTAAGCAAAGTTTTTTCACTGGAAATTATTTATGAAATGAGAATATGACTCATACTATACAACTGTCAGAATTACCAAATGTTTATTGTACATCTAACATCTACCGTTTTCTTGTCATAGTTAACTTTTATTGAGCACTTACTTCATGCTATGTACATAAGCATTAAGACTTCTACATTTATTACCTTAAGTTATTTTTTCAGCCTCTGAAATAAAGCAGTTAAGTAGCTCACTCTGGACCACTCACTGGTAATAATAGTCACAGCTTTCAGAGCCTTCCTTTCTTAACTGTTTCTTAATATTCACCTTTTGGGAACTCTCAAGCTGATGAGAGATGAATAAATAAATTAGCCGTCCCAGTACAATAAAAATCCAATAGGCACAGAACTGGAGGCTGCCATTTCTGCTTGGGAAAATATTAGGAAGTTTCACAGGGAGGAGACCAGAAGGAAAACCTGTGTTAAGCCATGCCAGGGGAAATGGCCTGTGCAGAGACAAGTGGAAGAGCATACGTGCCTGGGGAGAGAAATGTGGTGGTGATATGGCTGCATCTCAGTGTGGGTGTGGGCCAGGAGGGAAGATGATGCAGCTGCAGCTCTCTAGGTGACTGTGAGGGGTTTAGAGTTCATCTTGTAGACCTCAGTGAGCTTTCTGAAGTGTTTAACCTGGGCAGTAACAAATTGTTATGTTGGGTAACAAAAATTAGAAATATCTGGTTTCAGAGAATACTTCTAGGATTATTTGAACAATTAGGAGAGACCTGATGAAAGCCTTTTGAACCAAGGCAGTTGCATTTGAATTGAAAGGGCAGAGATTTGGAAAGGGGGAGGGATGATTCTGAATGGGACTGAGGATGTGGACGTGCAGGCACAGAACGATTTTCAAACAAGCATCTCAATCAGTGCTGGTACCATAACTGAAACAGGGACAAACGAGGGGAGGCTTTTGAGCACTATTCGCAGACAGTCCATGTGGAATTGTCCAATAAATAGTGAAAAATACTCACCCAGTAGATAATAGCTGAATCATATTAGTATAAATAATATAGTATTAATAACCAAAATGTTACAGAAATGATATAGTATAATTTCATACTCAAGATTGTGGTCCACATATTTTTTCTCTTCAACTAAATTCTTAATAATTTTATCCTCTTAAATGAATATACAGCACAGCAGAGTGATTTGAATACTGTATTCTTAATATTGTGGTGGATTTTGACTCATTCAGCTTACATAAACTTTAAAAAGTCATTTTTCTAACATAGTAAGCACTACAAAGGCCTTTCTTTTGTGACTTCTTCAAGATATAATTGTTATATGTCCAGAAGACATTTACTACAATATTAAGGGAAAACTTTACAAGCAGCCTTCCTTTAGAATGGGATATGAATATGAAGTTTCAGAACTCTTTATAAGTAAGGCATTTTTATTTGTAAAGGAAAAGTTGTTTTTGTTTATGTTTTTGTACTGGGGATTGAAGTACAGACCTTGTGCTTGCAAGGCAGGCAGTGATACCACTAAGCTCAATCCCCAGCCCAGAAAGAGATTTATTAAACTAAGAACATACTTCCTCTTGCATATTTTAGTCCTCAGAGAACTGTAAATGGATTGATTATAGAGGGATTTTTTTTAAAAAATGAGAACTATGAATATAAAATGCCAAATAGTTAAGTTCTTAAATTAGTTTTATTTATAATAGGGTTAGAACTGCTTTGTTTTGTCTTTCATTTTTTAATATGTAAAGAATTTATGCTTCCAAGGAATTAGACTAGTTTCCTTTTGCAAATTTTGTATGTTATAAATAAAAACTGTTGTGGTACATAGTGTTTTTGAATAAGGAAGTCAAGTGGCCCTAAAAGTTGATTAAATCAATTTATCTTAGGCACAGAGAAGCATTCTCATTGTGGGAAGGATAATTGCAGAGAACTGTGAAGAGGGGGAAAAACACAACCTCATCGATGGAATTATCCAAGTGTGACAGTGCTGTCAGTCTCTTAAATTGCCTTTTAAAAATCATTTGTTTGGAAGTTTCAATAAGTGAAAGAAAAAGAACTCTTGTACTGCTTCTCATTTCAGCCTAAGCATTTGGTTTTTCTCATATTATGATTGTCATTGAAAAAAATTAAAGTGTTCAATTTTAGTGAAACTGAAAGATAATTAGAAAATGTTACCTTAGGTTTTTTTTTTTTTTTCTGGTTTAGTAGTTAGATTGAGGGGTTCATCTTTTACAAAAGGATAAGGAATTTTTCTCAGAAGCTTCCTGGTAAACTAAAAGAAATTGATGTTAATAGTATAATATTGTGCTTTTTAACCATCAAGTGTAATGTGTGACTGTCAATAAATTTGAAGTCTGCTCTGAAATTTAGTAAGTCTGAATATGATACATTAGGGGAATCATTTTGAGGAGCCACACACTTTTAAATGAAATTTTTTGTTTGCCCTATTATGGAAAAAGTGTTTGTGACTAACGATGAAAAAAGGGCTGTGATAATTTTGACATGTGGAAAGTGAAACAAGAGTGACTGGATTGAATTTATGTTAACACTCTTTTGGAGGCATGGATAGCTTCTTGAGGTACAGAATATTCGTGAGTGCACTGCTGGGGAGTGCTTCCCAGCATATGTTGAGCAGCTCTCCTGGAGAGCCCCAGCAAGATTCCTAGTGGGAGTGGACTAGTCCAAAAATTAAAGTTCTGTGCTTAAAATTAGTGCCACCCAAATTCAAGTCAACTAAAGACAACTTACTAAATAAATTTTAAAGGAATACTAACAAGTTTCCCTTTTAAACTGAAATTAGCAAGTAACTTGAGTTTGCTAAGGATATATGCAGTATTCTACAAATAAGTCTGGCTGTTCAGATGCTTTATTTTGATTTGGGGAAAGGTGTTTTGTTAATCATCCTCATCAGTTGGTGTATTTAGCTTTCTGTCACTGTGGCAAAATACCTGAGATAAACAACTTGAAGGAGGAGAGATTCATTTTGGCTCATAGTTTCAGAGGTTTTGTTCCATAGCTTTTAGGCTCATGGTAAGGCTTCCTGAACATGTTAGAGAGCATGTGGTGGACCAAAGCAACAGACAGGAGACAGTGAGAAAGAGCAAGGAAAGGGCCGAGAACAATATGTACCTTCCAGGGTTGTCATTGGCTTACCTCCTCCAACTAAGGTCCCACCTCCTAGTTTCCAGCACCACCCAATAATAGTTCATATAATTATGAATTCAAAATGAATGAATTCACTGATGAGATTGCAGCCATGATCCAATCACACATCACACACACACACACACACACACATACACACACACACACCCCCAACCACCCACCCCAGTTTGCTGAATTAGGGACCAAGCCTTCAACACTTGAGCTTTTGGCTAAATCCCCAGCCCCATCACTGCTTTTTTTTAAAAAAGTACCATGAATTACTGTGGTACATTGGTTCACAAACTTAATTCTTGCCATGATTCTGTTTGCAAATCGAATTGGGCGAGAACTGAATCAAGTTTCTGCATAAGGTCAGTGTTGAACCTAACCATTGAATTTGAACCGTATCTTGAACAAATATGTCGCTGTGTCTTTGTTTTTATACTAGCTTAGCTTCTTGTAAGTTTGTTCACCCTCAGAGTAAGCTGTGTTATATATTTTAGGCTTGTCATTTCTAATAACTAGACTTGAAGATAGAGGCCATACACTGTCAGCTCACAAACACAGTAATGTTGCATTCCAAGAACAGATTGTTCAGCAGAGTGAGAAGCTAGCTAGAGTCTTTAATTTCAGATACTTGGGAGGCCAACGTAGGAGGATTGCAAATTTGAGGCCAGTGGCCTTAGTAACATAGCAAGATCTTGTCTCAAAATTTGATGAAAGGACTAGGAAAATAATTCCGTGGTAGAGTGCTTTCCTAGCATGTGTGAGCTGGGCTTAATGCTTAGTACTGCATATAAGTCAATAAAAGTGGCTTGGTTTGGACAGACAAACTTCATACCCAGGTAGACTTGTAAGTAGATCAGTGTGAGGTCATAAAGGCATAACTGAGATATATTCAGAGTGTAGAGTTGGTGTGAGGAATAATATGCTCTGGCAAGCCTGTTTGGGAAAGGATCTTGGGAAATTTAACTGGAGCCAGAACTAGAAACATTAGAGTTTTCATGAGCTGTGCACATATAGGGTGTCAGGGACAATTGCAAGTCAGGAGTGGTGTGGACAGACACAGGTATGTATACAGCAAGTAATATGGCCCATCAGAAGCCTGCATCTGCTTATTTATGCTTAGAAGAAAAGTTGAGGGGGGCTGGGGATTTAGCTCAGCAGTTCAGTGGCCTGCCTTGCAAGCGCAAGGACCCGAGTTCAATCCCTGGTACCAAAAAAAAAAAAAGAAAGAAAGAAAAGTTGAGGGAGAGGAAACAGCAGGGAGATAGATATACCTGTGTTGATTCTATTCTAATGAAAGAAATACTCTGCACATCCAGAAACAAAATGGTACAACTTTTTTGGGCAACTCTGCACATCCAGAAACAAAATGGTACAACTTTTTTGGGCAACTCTATAGCAATCTGTATCAATTCTTTAAAAAACTAAGGGGAGCGGGGTGTTAACCAGGACATTATTATAAGGAAATTAGATATCTATAGAGTTTTATTTTCAAGGAAATTGGTTATAGTGATATTTATAATGGAAAAAGGTAGGAGTGAGGCAAACAGACAGCAAGACCTACAAGAAGTGGGGATATAGCAGAACCTAAGCAAGACACTGCCTTCAGTAAGATTACTTTCTGGTGCATTTGGGGGTGGATTTGAGAGGCTGTTGTGTACATCTATCGCAATGGATGGGGATAAATTCCTTGCAGAGTAATAAAAGGTTGAGGGGGTAGCAAGTGACAAAAGTGGTACTATTTTAGATAGGAAAGGTATGTTGATATTTTGATGGAGACCTAAGAAAGTAAGGAAGCAGGTCATCCAAAAATCCGGCAGAGAAGCCTGGCGAACAGAGGAAATAACACATGCAAAGGACCAAAGGGTGGTGTTTGATATGTTCTTACACTAGTGTGGGAGTACATTTTATCTGAGAGCAGGAAATGAAGTCAGGTTGTCTGGAACCTTGTGAACCATAGAGTTGGGACTTGATTCTGCTTAACATGGAAGGCACCACAGAGACATAATATAGCTTGAATTTTTGTTTGTTTGTTTGTATCCACAATTTCTAGGCATGATATAAATACCTGTGCTTTTCCTTTTCTTTAGTTCTCTTCTTTTAATTTTTTAATTGAGTTATTTATACATCTAGGTATACCTTATGATCACATTCGTCATTGAGAATTTGTATCTGTACACAGTATATCTTGATTCTTACTTTTTCCCATCCCCCTGCCCTCCCTTCAACTTCTCCAGCCCCCCATATACATAAGTTTTGTTTTCATTTTTTCCTTCTTACCTTCAGTTTTTTTTTTTCTTTCCCTTCTTTCCTTTCCCTGCCCCCTCCCTGGTTCCCCTTCCCCTTTGAATGTTTTCTTCCTATTTCACAATATCTATTTTACATTTCAGTCTTCATTTACACCTTTAGTTTCTCACACCAGAGAAATGATTTGGTGTTTACACATGTGTGTCCTGTTTATTTATGAGGATGGCATCAAGGTGCATCCGTTTAGTTACAAATGTCTCTAGTTTCTCATTCATTGTGGTTGATTAATACTCCATTTTATTTAAAAAAAAATCTTTTTTATCCACTCACTAGTTGATGGGTTTTTAGGCTGTCTCCAAGCTTTAGCTATTACAAACTTTGCTGCTATAAACATGGGTGCCCATATGTCACTGTGGTATGATGCTTTTAATTCTTTTGAGAATATACCAAGCAGAGGAATAGCAGGGTCAAATGTGACCTCTAATCCTAGTTTTTTGAGAAATCTCCACACTGATTTCCAGTCTACACTCCCACCAACAGTGGAGAAGTGTTCCTTTCTCCCCATAACCCCGCCAGCATTTGTTATTGGTTGATTTCTTGATCTTTCTGCACTGAAATGGAATCTCGGCATTGTTTTCATCTGCATCTCTCGAATGACCAGTGATGTTGAACATTTTTTCATATGTTTATTTGCTGCTTCTACTTCTTTGTTTGGGAAATGTCTGTTCATTTCAAATGACCATTTTTTGAATTGGGTCTTTAAATTTGGGAGGTCTGATTTTTTTTAAGTTCTTCATATATTCTAGACAGTAAGAACAGCTGGTAAAATTTTTTTTAACATTTTGTGTTGTCTCTTCAGTCTGTTGGTGGTTTCTCTTGCTGTTTAGAAGCTTTTTAGTAAGATGAGATTCCAGTTATCGATTCTTTGTGCTAGTTCCCATGCAACTAAGGTTTTCTTCATAAAGTCTTTTCCTATGCCATTGTCTTCAAGAGTTCTGTCTAACCTATCTTCCAGCAGGTTTATTTTCTGTTTTAATATTTAGATCTTTGATACACTTCGATTTTAGTTTAGTGCATAGTGAAATAATATGGTCATGACAACCAGTAAATTGAGAATGGTCTGGGAGTGGGAGGGGTTAGATCAGATAGCAGACTGTTGAAATAATCCTGGTAAAGATGATGGGATGGAGTTGGGTGTAGTGATGAGAAGAGGTTAGTATGGGCTGTATTATTTTTTAGGACTTGCTGGTGAATGTTAAATGGGGTGTGAAGAGTCAAGGATAACCACAGTATTTTTAGCCCAAACAACAGAAGTTGCCGTTTATTGAGATTTGGAAGAACAGGCTTGGGAGGAAGTTGAGTTAGTTTTAGACTGTTAAGATTGAGTTGTTGTATGACGTTGATGTGGAGATAATGAGTTGGCAGGTGGAATGTAAAAATATCCAGAGTAGAATTTGGCATTAAAATTAGGAATATGAATTCATATTCCTATGTACATATGTGAAACTAATAGTGACTAGACACCAAGTGACAGTCTTTCAAGGAGACAGTGTTCACCTGTGTCAAGCATTACACATTGATCAAATAAAATGATAATTGGCCAGTGACTTTGACCATGCAGAAATGTGGCGATCATTGGTTACTTTGCACAGCACTTTCTGCTGAATGTTAGAGGCTTGAAAGCACCTGATTAAAGTGGGTTCAGAGAATGGGTGGAGAGAAAGTAAAGCAAGTTTCTCAAGAAGCATTGCTTAAAGAGAAACAAAATTTAGCTGAAGAATATATGGTGAAGGAAAAGCTTTGTTTTAATATTTGAATTATTGGGACACATTCATGTACTTATTGAAACTTCTAGCAGAAAGGTGGAGATTGATTTAGAAAAAATTGAGGACAGTTTCAGCAGGGAAGTCAGTGAGTAGGTGAGGAGGTAGGAATGAGCCCTTTTAGAGCAAAGACAGTTCATCTTTCAGTGTGGTTCACAGCCTTGGTTTAACGTACAGTCACATAAGGTGCTTCAAAAAATACTGATGCCTGCCTGGCTCCCTCCCTAGAGAAGTGAAATTGGAGTCTCCAAGCAGAAGTTGAGGAGTTGGTTGGAAGGATGACTGTAAGAGGGCTGGGACAGGCAGGTGCCTTGTTTGTTGATGACGTGGGGAAGTTCTCTTCCCTCTGAAAGAGTACTAGAGGCTTCAGAAGAGGATGTGACATAATTGTCTCAAGAGTAGGAGAAAAATCTAACCAAGGAAATGTAGGTAGGTCAGGCCACAGTTGGAACTCATGTTGGAGCTTGTGGTTGTGAAACTTCAGTGTGATTCATCACATTTTCTTCCAGTTGCTTTAAGATAGATGCAGAGTAGATGTATTATTGATTTTCTATGGGTGAGGCTCTTAATACAATGTTACGAGAACTCAAATCTGAGCAGAGCACAACTCTTCCTTACAGAATGAAGGCCTTTCCCCAAACAATGTTCACATGGTAGGATACTAAGTACTAAGGTTATTTGCTCATAGAGATGTAATGGGTTATAGATATAAATCGTACCTCCCTTAAATGAGGATTGGGTGCTCTTTGTACAATAAAGAAATAGAGTGTAATTAATTTATTTTTCTGGTGTTAATAACTTGATTTGAATCTCTGTGCAGTCAAGTCCACTTCTGGTATTTAACGTGTTACTTATATGTATTGCTTTTCCCCTAGAAATCTGAATCTACATTGGAATTTTACCGAGAACTTGGATTGCCACCAAAACAGAGCATTAAAATCTTTCATGTAACAGATAATGCTGTAATTAAGCCAGGTAATCTAAGGTCAGGGAACGGAGGGCGGTAAAAATATCCAAATATGTTATTTGTTTAATGCCAGCCCTTTCAAAGCTGAATCCAAAATACAGAGTCCCAAATGCAGGTATTTATTTTTAAGTATAAAACTATCTGTTTTAATCACTAAGAACAAACAAATCTTTGTGTCTTTTAAGTGGAAAAAGCTGTAGGGGACTCTTTGTTTTCCATGAAAAAGGGAGGAACGCTTTTGTTTTTAATGTAGAGAGAGCTTCACATTTGAAAAAGCCATTCTAAATAAATACACTAACTTTTAAAATTTGAGGTTGTTTACAGGCTGGATTTCTGTTAAGTGAAGAAAACTAGAGTCTCCCTTAAATAGGAAATATAACCTGAAAAGGGAGAGTGACTAATACACAGTTATATGTCGTATATTTTACTTCAGCATACTTGGAAAACTAACCACAGTCATCAAGCTTGGGTGTTTACCAGCAGCAATAGTGTGTTGTAACAAGAATCATTCATTTTGACCAATGCCGCTTTGACCCCTAGAAGGCACTGGCCCATTTGCCAGGCCTGGTCTGACCTCTCCAGCATCATGTGCCTTACGTAGGGCTTTGTTCTTTAGGCTACGCAATCAACTAAAAGACAGGTGTGTTGCATAATTTCATTGTCTAGGTGTTCTAATGTTTATTATAATTGAAGACAATCTCCTGTTTTTTGAAATCTGATACCTAGAAGGGTTGTTTGATGTAGTTTATATTTAATAAAGTTATTTCTGTGTGACAGATCTCATACTGATTTTCTTTTCTTCTCAAAAAGGCACTCCTCTATATGCTGCTCACTTTCGTCCCGGACAGTATGTGGACGTCACTGCCAAAACGTAGGTCTTCACAGCAATTCTCTTTTCCTTTTGTTTCTTCATTAACTAAAAAAAAATTAAAGTGAATATACCAAGTCAGTGAATAAAATATAAATATTCTCACTCATAAGTCTAATCAGTGAAGTCACTAACTACGCTGGCTTTAAAATTTTACTAACTTAGTTTTATGTGAAAAATTCAGGTTACAGCCTTGAGACTGAGATGTATGTTTCTTGACATAGAATTAAAAGAAATGTTTCATTACTTAGATTCTTTGTAGTTTGGGCCCACTTCTATTTTGAAGACCAAAGATGGCATACAGTGTGATGGTGAAATGCACACGAGCAGGGCTGATAGAATTCTTTTGACATTATTGTGTAATCTAGTTTTGGTTATTCTTTTCAATTGTAGGAAATGGTTAAATTAATAACATTTTATTTTGAAAGTGGTGGTTGTGTTTGACTTCTAAAATAACCATGTTAAAAGCCTATCAAAAACTAGAAGCAGCACTGTAGGTCTCTTCAGTAGCATTATACTACTCCTCAGTATTACATAAGTGAGACTTCTTCCGTGAAAAAAGAATTCTTTTAATACTCTTAACAAGGTTTAATTTAGTAGAAATCAATATTTTTTACTAACAAATGCTGACTATGAGTCATATTTAGTCTGGGCAGTGGTATTTTTGGTACTGCAGCTTTTTGATTATGTTACCATTTATGCCAAATGGCTTATCATTGGCTAGATAGCCTCCAGGAAACATTTAGATCTTTGAGAAGTAGCTTTTAAAAATTGATTGAGGTTACTTCACTACAGAATTTGAAATAAGTTTTTGTATATGTTTATATTGAAACTCTTTAGGTTATTGGAGCTCAAACTATCTAGTATAAACAAAACTCCACTATCAGCTGTTGTCCATTTCTGTTGTTCTCGCAACATAAATTATAATTTTGTTTCTCTTTGTGCCTTAATTTTCTTCTTTTTGTTACATGGCAGTATCTGCAGGGGTATTCTCAGGAGCCGTTTGAAAAAAAAAAATGTGTCTACAGTTGCTCTGGGATAGTCTTATGGTTGTCAATGGTTGTTTGTTATTTTTTAGAGTAGTTTCTATCCAGAGAAATTGGATGAATGCTAACACTAGATTCCTTCATCCAGTTATATGCTGTACATTCATTTCTACATGGTTATCATTTAGTTTGAAATATAGGTCATTAAAAAAGCTGCTAGATAGCTTTACTTTGTTCAGCTGTTTAGAAGTGAAATGGGACAGATTGGTAGCAGAGAAAGTCTTCTTTTTAGATAAATTATGAACCGTTGACTTTTTTCTGCTTCCCACTGTCCTGAACTTGTCTCTTGTTAACTGCAGCCCATAAAATAATTTGTTTCTTGATAACTGTGTTTGTTTTGCTTTCACTTTCAAGAACTCAAAATATTAAAACTAAAGTTTTGGTTTGGTTAGTTGGGGAGGTTTATTAATGTGTTGTAGATCAGATTATTTTGCTGTTTAATTTCTGAATTACATGTGATAAAGTACCTCATACTAATTCTGTTAATTTATGCACAGTTGGTGTTGTATGCATTCCATTAAATATTTTATAGAACGTGGGATATGCTGAGAAGCCATGCAGAGTCAGAGGTTTTTGTTCAGTAATGTCTGTGACCAAGCTTGTGACTAGCTTGGATTAGTGGCTAGCTTTTCAAATGCCTATGCCCACTAAATGCTTTCATCTCATATGCTGCTGTGTTTCCTTGGCTTCTTTTTTTAAAAGTTATTTTTAAAACCACAGCCTTCCTGTGAGTATAAAGTAAAAGGGGAAGTTGTTTTGTTTTATTTTAAAGTCAAGTCATATTCCTAGAAAACATGAGGTTGTATATCAGCCTCAGATTAAACAGCTTCTAACAGCTGGGATTACAGCCTGAGGATTTAAAGTAGTGACAGTCACACTTCTGGAAGAGAAGGGAAGGTTACCCATTTGAGAAGATCCTCGCTATCGCATGAGCTGTAGTACTGTGTTTTGATTTTACTGTACAAGGTGCACTGTGTTCTGGTGCACACTCAAGCAGAATTACCTGAGTCAGATTGAATTGGATTTTATTTAACTTTTGTTAAATGTTTCCAGTGACTATACCTCTTGTAGCTGGCATGTCATTTTATCTGTAAGATTCTTTTAAGTACTTTTAAATTTATTGGACTCTTCTCATGTGGAGTTTGGTTTGAATTCTCTGAATGTAGCGTGAGCTCCTTAGCCACATCCAGTCCCAGCTGCTGCTGCCCCTTCTCTTTGCCGCTGATGTCCCTGAGTTGTGATGTGTGTGGACATGCCCCATGTATATGTGTGCATATGCTTACTTTTCTTTTTCCTTTAAACTCTTGTATGTCCTCCCCTGAGGGATCAGTTCTCCTTGCCTAGAGTTTTAAGTCTTTTGCAGCCAATGAAAATGTGCTTTTTTCTATTAAACTGTAATGGAACCATCATCATTTGGGTATAGGCTCTGTGTGCTCTCATCCCTTACCACTGTAACTTATTTAGAGCCGAGTTTATCTACCTTGTCCTCTATTTCTAGCCCCTGTTTGGTGACTTCTGGGCTCCATCTTCTTGATTATTAATCCTGTTACAAGTACAAACACATCAGAGAAAAGAACTGTGTTGTTCCATGGTTAGGATGGTGACAGGACATGGATTTACAGACTGCAGCAGAGGCTTTCCCAGTTAACTGAGCTTTGACTCTCTAAAAAGGCCGCTGAACATGGACTCATACCCCTCTGTGGAGTTCCTAAGGTTTCTAACCAGTTCTCGGGCTATGGGGCTATGGGTCTGGGATTCTGAGGGCCACAGGACTGGAAAAAAGTCCTGCTTATCAGTTAAACTACTTTTTCTCCCCTACTGCTGTACCAGCACAGAATTCAGAATGCCTTTCTTTAACTCTGATCAACTTGTGACACATCAACATCTTTTTAAAAAGCAACCAAGTTAAATTAATCTAGTTTTCAAAATAACATTGCCAAAAATTTTTTTTTAAATGAGCCTGCTTATTACTTACATTTTAGTTAGCATAAAATTGAAAATAGGTCTGTTTAGTAATTGGCTTCATTTTCTTCTTTCCACTGACAAAGAAAATTTTTACTTGTTAATCTATATTTTGAATGTTTCAAATTGTTTCTTTAGACTTTCCTTAGACCTTTAATTGCTGGGTTAAAAATAGTTTAGAAATAATTCACCAGATTAATTTTAAAAAGGTTAAAAAGGGAAAACAGTGTCAACCTCGAAAATTCTTTGTTACTGGGATCTGTTAATCTCGGAAATGTAATTGTATGTAAGTATTTTTTTTTTTAATTGTTCAGTGACCAATAGCAGGAGTTTCTTGAGGGTATACTTAAACTGTTAAATGTCCTTTTTCTAATAATTGTAGCAGAAAATCTACTTGCATCAAAAGATACATCGTGTTTACCTATACTGAATTTCACTAAAATCCTCTATATAAATAGGTAAATTTACCAGTGTAACTTGGGGGTATGAGGTGAATATGTTTGCCAGAGTTAGTTTTAATTGTTCTGTTATACCAGAAATAGTCTTTTTTCTAAAGGGTCTGAGAATATAAGTTCAGTTTAGATTACATGTAAAATATTTTTACATCTAATAAAACATCTAGTAAAATAGCTTTATAGTTCCATTGTGCTCTTAGTAGATAATAAAGCCTAGTCTTTGAGACATGGCCGTCTCATATAATTCATTTGTAGTAGAAATTTAAACTAGCTTGTATAATGATGACTGCGCTCTCCTCTGCCCAAGTACACCTTTAAAGTTCTTTTTCTGTAATAGTGACTCTATTCTTTTGTAATTTCAAACAAATGATACTTTGGGGTCTAATATTTTCCTTTTCTTTTGGCCTCAACTTTAAGGACCAAACAGCTTTAGGTACTATGTGAATATAAGCAATGTGTGACTGTTAACTCTATCCTCAGCATAGGCTGTTTAGCTAATTTTTTCTATTGAATCTTGGCACTGCTTATTATGATAAATGATTTTTTTAAAAGTAAAAGAAATGAGAAAAGAATAAAAGAACCAACCAAAAGAAAATTATAAAAATGCATTTTTCTGTATTCAAGAGGAAATGTTAGGACTCTGTCAAGGACTGGAAGGACAGACAGCATGGTGTTACACTCATCTCAGTGGGGGCAGAGGGGCCTGTTCTGCCAGATATCTTACTCAGCTTTGAGTTCATGACAGTGGCACGATGGGAACTTTTTTTCTGGTTGTCTGGAATTCTTTAATTATTTATTATTTAACTTTGAAGCTTATATTGAAGTCAAAAGGCAGCTTATTTGGTTTTGTGAAAGATTTTTCTTTCTGGAAGAAAGGTAATCTAAAAATCTTACCTATAAGCCTGGGCTAATTAGAACAACCCATATATTTTTAGTCATAATCTTACTACTTTAAAGTTGTCAGTTTTCCTTGTATTTTTGTATTAAAGTAGAAAAATTTCACTTGTCTCAGTAGTGTTTTCCTTGGTGATAAAAATTTAGGGAGATAGAGTAACAAAGATTATATAATTGGGTTTTTTTGTTTGTTTCTTGGTACAGGGGATCAAACTTGGGACCTTGTGCTTGAGTAGCAGGCAGTGGCACCACTGAGCTAAATCTCCAGCCCAAGATTAATTGATAAAGCACCTTATTTACTGAGATTGATTGGGTTATTTTGAGCTTTTATTAAAATATCAAAATATATAAAGAAGTACTATTCCCATCAAAGTCCTTTTTTCTCCCCCCTCATGGTAATGGAGTTTGAACTTAGGGCCTTCACACTGAGCTATATCCTCAATCCCTCAACCCTTTTTTATATCAAGACAGGGTCTTGCTCAGTTGCCTAATGGCTTGAATTTAAGATCCTCCTGCCTCAGCCTCCTGGAGTGCTGAAATCACAGATGTGTCCCAGTTCCATCAAGTCTTAAAGGTAGTTTTAAAAGTCAAGTGAGTTCTTCAAAAATCAGGGCTCTGGGCTTTGTGCCTCATCCCACATACTATT